CGATAAAGGCCTGGCTTTAGAAGGCGCCTTTGGAAAAGCAACTAAAATTAGCGTGCCCCTCCTTCCCCACTGACACGTGCCTCAGGATGCTGAGAGCCTCCGCCTCTGGAGGATTGAGCTATTTCAGGAAACTGAAAAGCCAGTGGAACACGCATTTCCAAAGGACAGGAAGTCACCTCTGAGCTGTTGTGACTCTTCTATGAGAAACAGAACGTGTACCGTGGTCCATGATCAGAAAGCAATGTCAGGTTTCAACTGGAACGACACAGATGTATCCACGTATTTCATGAACAGCACAGGTGCCCCTCTTCTCTCCACGTTCTGTAGTCCGTTGTGATGGGTGTGGTAATGTTTACAGTTCCAGGGCAGCCGCTGCGCACCTGACCACGTGCTGTAGGCCTGGCATCCTGGCTGCATCCAGCTCCACAGTTCAGAACAAGAATCACCTGGAAAGTCTGTTGGAAATACAAACTCAGGGCTCCCACCTTTCTCCAGTTTTTTATTTAGCGGATCTGGGCTGTCAGTAAAGTTCAAAAATGTTTTTCTTATGTTTGTAAGTCCCAGGACTTCTGAGAGCTTCGTTCTTGACCACACGGGAGAGCTGACATCCTGAGCCACCAGCCACCCTGAAATCCCTCCCTCCAGGCAGCTCCAAGGGAGGAGAGGCAGGAGTGAGCTGAACTTGAAGGAGGACGAGTTCCCCCCAAACAAGTGAGATGACTCCAGCCAGATCCTAATGAAAGGCCACAGGCCAAGTGTGGGTGAGCCAGAGAACCACAGAGGTGTGCACATCACGTGGTGGTACCTGCATGCCCGGTGTGCGAAGACAGCCTCAGGGAGGACACTGCCCATCGGGAGGAGCCCGGGAGGAGGCAGCTGCCACTGTAGAAGGGCACAAAGCAAGCCCCACCCCACCTTCCATCTTAAGGGACAGAAGCCATGGGGGAGAGAAGTACCTCGAGGACCCACTGCAGCTGGGGAGAGGTCCCTTAAGGACGTGGTAGGACAATGTCCCAGGCCAGTAGAGACCCTGTATTGCTGGGGCAGGTGCAGGCTCTGTCCTGCAAAAGACCCGCCAAAGACACAAGGCACAGGGAGGAAGGGGCAGGGTCTCTGGGAGAGCTCTGGCCCCAAGACTCAGGATGGACCAGGACAACAGGAAGCTCCTCTTTACCCCCTCTACTGGGGGTGGGCAAGACTGTCCAAAATAATACAAACATCAAACCCAGAAAGTCAGATCTCAGAAAGTCGGAGAAAACAGCAGGATAAATACTGCAAAAACTCCCAGTTACGAATGTGTGCTCTGAGTCTGTGGATGTGCCTGTGGCCCTGACTCTGGAACTCACTGCAGCCTCATCTGCAAGGCTGTAAGAATGGGCTTCAGGGAGCCCTGTTCAAACACTGCAACCCTCCCACCCACAGCTGGTCCAGGGGTGGGTATTTGACCCAGCTGGAACGGGGAGGGAAGAGGAGGGAGAGGCCGAGGATGCAGGAAGACTCAATGCTTTCTCTAAGTGCTGGCAGGCATGCTATTCCACACGTGGACTGCATTACCAGACGAAGCTAGTCTCAGAGGAAGAGGAGAGCGAGCAGAGGTGGAGACAGTCACGAAGGCTTTCAAACTCCTGGTTCCATTCTGTTCCTGAGACTCAACTGCAGTCCCCTATGCACATGTCATGAGACACCAATATATGCTATTTTTATTTTTTAAATAAATACCTCTCCTTTTTAATCCCCATTTGCTTAAAGCACATCAATTTCTGGAGTCCTTGGCTAATAGGATTCAATTTCTTCTCATAACAGAAGACATTGTTTCCATTTTACAGAGGAAGAAACAGAATCTATGGTTCAAAAGACGCCAGCAGGCAGCACCTCCGCATTGGGCTTGAAGTCCCCGAATGTGGGTGGATGAACATGTTTGGGGTAAGCCTAGGACCATTTCTAAGGGAAGTTTTGGGAAAGACCTCCTGGATCCCCTCTACTCGATAAATCTAAACAAGACTGAGGGCTCTGAAACACCCCTAAACTGTATGCTGCCCAACAACTACCCAGTGAGAGTGCCTCCCCGTGCACAGCCAATGGCAAACCCCAGTTGTTCCAGTTCTTATCAGAACACTTATCCAAGCTTTTCTCCTTACCGATAATTCACCTCTAGTGGCCGGGTGCGGTGGCTCACGCCTGTAATCCCGCACTCTGGAAGGCCAAGGTGGGTGGATCACCTGAGGTCATGAGTTCAAGACCACCCTGGCCGACATGGCGAAACCCTGTCTCTACCAAAAATACAAAAAAATTAGCCGGGTGTGGTGGTGGGCATTTGTAATCTCAGCTACTCAGGAGGCTGAGGCAGGAGAATCACTTGAACCTGGGAGGCGGAGGGTGCAGTGAGCCGAGCTTGCATCATTGTACTCCAGGCTCGGCGACAAGAGTGAAACTCCGTCTCAAACAACAACAAAAACAAATCGCCTCCAGTGTCAGGACTAAACCTACATGTAGGAGAAATATTTAATTTCTTAAAATCTGAAGGTTACTATGTGTTAGGTATTGTACTAAGCAGCTTACATTCATTGACATTTAATTTTCAGATTTAATTGTGTGAAGTAGGTATTACTGTCATCCCCATGTTACAGACACGAAAACTGAGGCTTAGAGAAATAAGCTGTTTGAAGGCTACAGTAAGAGGAAGAACTAAGAGTGGAAAACCAGGTTGTCCAACACACATCTGTCACTCAACCATGGCACTGTGCTGCCTTCTTCACCTACACTCCAACTTCGTCACTTCAGCAATGTTTAGGGTTTTTTTCCTTCAACAAGTTCTACATTATAAAAACTAAGCAAGCCAACAAGTAGAAAAATGTATAAAGGTTTCGTAAGGGTTTCTAAATCATCCAAACAGTAAAAAGAAATTTAAAAAACCACAAAATAAAAACCCTTCTGGAAATATCTTTCACCAGGATAAGGAGGAATTTCTTGGCAGCCAGCAGAAAACCCTGTTCTCATATTTTCCAGTAAAAGAAACTGAAAAATTTCCTTTTCACTGAAGCACACGTTTGATGACTTTACTCACCATATAAGGAAATGAGTGATTCTGCACTTTTCAGCCCCATCCTTCTTTTCTGAGCACTAAATTTCATTTGGAAGTTAATATGTTATTTTAAAAGTAAAGTCATCTAGGGAAGATCCAAACTAAGTAAGAGCACTATTAAATTTTGAAGAAGATTTAAAGATTTGGATTTTGTTACATTCTGCCACTTTTTAAAAAGGTCTTTCTCTAAATTATTAAAAACGTCCCTGGCTAAAGATGGGTAAGTTAAAAATACTTAGCAGTTTGTTAAGATTACTGAGGTTTTTTTGGTCACTAATGAAGCTGGTTTCTTAAACATACTGGACCTTTAATAACTGGTATGTGAAAAAAAACAAACAAACATGAATTTTAAATCTTATGAATCTCTTAACTTCCTGAATAGTAAAATTTAATTTTAACAGTAAAATTTGACGGAAATGACCTAGGAGTTTTTGGTTGTTCCCATGTTTCGTGTACTTAAAATCGATTCAAAATAAGCCCATTTATTTCAGTAATAAGAAAATCAGAATGATTATTTTATTCATAACAGAAAGTGATGACACTTAATTCTTTTGTTTTTATACAGAAAAAGTACAACCTGTAGTAAACTAGTTTTTGACAGGTGTAGATAAACCCATATTTTAAAAGCCAAATAACAATTTTTAGTAAGTTATTTGAATCAAATTATATGAATTAACATTCCTACTTTAAATTACATATGATGTTGAAGGTACCTACATGCAGGACTCATCAATGGCACATCTTGCATCATTCATTTACCAAACTCTAAGGAGACAGTTATGATCCTTGCTTTCAAAGAGCTAACAATAACTGTGCAGAAATTGCTGAAAGTAAGTGAAACAAAAGGGGCGAAGAAAGCCTTCTGCGGCAAAGGAAAAGGCACAGCGAGGTAGTAGTGAGGTGTGGGTTGATACAGACAACCATATGGGCAGTGTGCACCTGGAGAAGATGACCCAGACCACAATGAACACGGAGGGCAGCAAAGGGAGACGCTGGCCAGAGGCTACAGGAGCCCAGGGAAGGAGGAAGGAGTCTGTTTGGCAGGAGTAACAGTTCTGTTGTCTTGGTTTTGTGGGAAATAACAAATAGTATTTATTAACAAATAATAAATAGCATTAAAATAGTATTAACTTTAAAAAAAAAAAAAACAACAACACAGTATACGTTCAGCATCACTAATCTAAAAATCCAAAATGCTTCAATATCAGAAACTTTCTGAGTACTAGCATCATGCTCAAAGCAAATACTCACTGGAATCTAACGCAAATACTACAAAACCTGAAACACATCTGGTCCTAAACGTCTCCAATAATATTCAACCTGTATATGAAACTGTATGTACAGTTCACTAAACACACCCCAAATGAGGAAGGAGGTGCATGCAAGTGACGGTAGCCCTTATCTCTGGAGGGGAGAAAAGGGAGGTTTACAGGTTAGTCTTCTCAACAAAGCGTTCAGGAACATGAGCACTGTATCAGACTAAACTGGATCTGTATCCAGGCTCTTATTAGTTGTGTGACTTGGAAAAATAAGACTTTCACAATCTCAGTTTCTAAACAGTAAAAGAAAACAACGTTAATATTTAGCTAGAGAGTTATGAGGATTAAATGAGCAAATATCTATAAATCATATTCAGTGAGGTGGTGAATAAAATGTGAGCTAAGACCTACACTTCTGAAGAAGTCCATGTTTTCAAATTTTTGTAACATTTTTATAATCAGGAAAGAGAGCTGTTTATCAGGAGATAAGCTCTCAGTTAAGGCACAAAGAAATACAAAAAACTCCCACAAGATTCATGCAACAGAAAGGGACAACAGCGAGTTGATAAAATTTTGTTTCTCCACTTTATACATTCTTCCACGGGTATGTATTTTTGTCACCGAATGGGAAAATAAAAATGAAATAAATATTGACTTACTGGTTTCCTAAGGAAGAAGATAGACAAAGCTCCAACTAAGGGCATATCTCCAATCAACGGTTCCAGAATCACCCGCATGGTACCATGAATCTAAACTCAAACAGGAAACCAAAATATGTAACAGAAAACAATTCTCCTGGGCCACTTAAGGAGTTTGCTTGCGCATCTTAGTAACTTTTGAGCACTTGACTTCTTATTTCCCTCAACTATGACCTACAGTTAAAAACTGAACGTCAAAAAAATTCCAAGCTAGAAAAACTTCCTAATTTTCTTTCTGAATACAGCTTAGAGAACTTTAGAAAACTGTAAAATTAAAACAAAAAACAAAAAACTTACCTGGATACTTTTCACACCAGCTCTACAAAAATATCGTTTGATCTCCAAATCAATCTCACAATTTCCTACAAAACTAACAAAGAAAAAATTCTGCATTACATAATGCGAGTGAAATGAACTACTCTCTTCATCACTATAGACCTGCAAGATGTATAATCTGAATAAAATGATAGTAAAGCAAGCAAATAGATTGTAGGTAAAAATAGTAAAATACGGCCCATCAGATTATAGTATTTTGCCGCTCCAGGTCTTCAGGCTGTTATCAGGTCCAATACTGCTCTGACCTTGGGAGGAATACTCCCAATCAATCAATCAATCAATCAATGGTTGTGGTTGTTGTTGGTCTTACATATAAAAATCTTAACTAAATAGAAATGTCGATGTTCAAAAGAAGATGTAAATAACAAACTGCAACTTCTGAAGCAGACTTTTGATGCAATGTAGTTTTCTTTACCTTATAAATCTGATGTTTAAAACATTAAAAAGTTTAATTTTATTTCACACAAATAAATTTCACATCTTGCTTCCCAATCATGAAAAATCTCTCAGTGCCCTAGGCCTCTATGACACCAAAGACTAGAAACAGTGCATCTGTTTGGGGCCTCAATTTTGCTCAATAAGTAAGTCATTTCAGATATTAATATGAAACAAACATAATGCTATAAGGCAAGATATGCATCTATTTTTAATATAAACATGAAATGTCAAACACTTTTTGCGTGCATTAGTGTAGGACCTGCCCCGACCCTCGGCTCCTGGAGGCAGGTTGTCACACTCTGACCTGACAACGTCTGTGGGGAAGTTTGATAAATGCTAGAAAGGGAATGTCTAAGCAGATAAGCAAAATAGTAACGAAAGGAATCTGGAATAAGTTTCTTCCAGTATTTATTGTCCTGGTGTTAACGCCAAGGCCTACAGCTTCTTCTCATTGAGAATTACTCTCTACCTAGTTGGTAAAATCACCAATAAGCTGTTACAAAACTATAAAAAAACTTTCCTTTTCTTCATTCTATGACTTGATCATTTTCTTTTCTTTTTTTTTTTTTTGAGATGGAGTCTTGCTCTGCTGGCCAGGCTGGAGGGCAGTGGCGCGATGGTGACTCACTGCAACAGCCGCTATCTGGTTCAGGCCATTCTCCTGCCTCAGCCTCCCAAGTACCTGGGATTACAGGTGTGCGCCACCACGCCCAGCTCATTTTTGTACTTTTAGTAGAGATGGGGTTCCACCATGTTGGCCAGGCTGGTCTCGAACTCCCAACCTCAAGGGGTCCACCCGCCTCCGCCTCCCAAACTGCTGGAATTAACAGGCATGAGCCACTGCACCCGGCCTTGATCATTTTATTTTCTAATACTTTTCAATTATTCCTTCCTCATCTCTACTGCCTGCCAATTTAGTTAAAGTGCTTGTCTGGAACTCACAACAAAGCAGAATGCGTATTTGTTCAGAGACATAAATCTGAGCAGGACACTCGGCACATGTTATGGGAGCTAACCATGAAATCAGACTGCACCTTCAGAATGGCATCCACTGACTGACGGACTCAAACTTGCTCGGTGCTGGCGACACAGGACAAGCGCACAAGGCTCCAACCCTCATGAAGCCTGGTACCAGCCCAGTGGGCCACCCTCCTGGAGGTGAACCGTCCTCCTGGGGCACAGCCTGATCCGAGACATACGTGGGTGTCCTCTTTTACTCCACTGATGACAATGGTGTTTGCCCTAGCACCAAATATTTTCAAGCGGCAGATTTTTCCATATTAGATTAAAGAAAGTCTATGCTTCTTTCTGAAATAAAGGTAACTTGGTACCAACTTTCTGAAATAAAGGTAACTTGGTACCAACATTCATTATATTTAAATACTTTGGAAACTCAATGATCACTTTAATAAAATGATCTTTAGTAAAGGATCAAAAAAAGCACACAACTCTGAGCTGCTAGACACCACGTGTTGTTCTGAGTGCACAGTACTCACTGGGCACCACACACAGTGTGTTGAGAGGCCCCACGTGGAGCAGGAAGCCCTGAGCAAGCTCAAGGAGGAACGATGATGAAAGACAAAAGCCCACTTTTGAGCCACAGCCCGGGGGACACAGCGAGACCCTATGGGGGGTGTGGGCGGAAGGAAGCCCATTTTTATTATGCTATGCATGGTAGCTGGCAGCTCTTCAATTTCTTTTTTTTTCCAATGTAAAACACTGTATTAAAATACACAAAAATTTGGCTGGGCATGGTGGCTCATGTCTGTAATCCTAGCACTTTCGGAGGCTGAGGCAGGTGGATCACTTGAGGTCAGGAGTTTTAGACCAGCCTGGCCAACAAGGTGGAAACCTTGTCTCTGCTAAAAATATAAAAATTAGTCAGGCACGGTGGCATGTGCCTATAATCCCAGCTACTCAGGAGGCTGAGGCAGGAGAATTGCTTGAATCCAGGAGGCGGAG